GACTGTCCTAGGAGGAGCGTGGGAAATATCGACTGTGATCTTGTAGGGTCTGATCTTGTAAGGATTGCCTACTTCCCTTTTAATTTCCGTTCTTTATCTGGAGGCTCATGCATAGCATCAATGTGCACACTGTCAGCATTTTACACTTCTTCTATTTTTGTTATGACAAGGCCCTCCAGGTGACCCAAATATTAAAAAAATATTCGTTTATGCGCATTTATTTCAGTGATGGTTCGACAAATCGGTAGAGAAGAAGAAATTGCGCACACGTAGCCTTACCTGCACAATGCGCAGTCTAGTTGGGTGACCTCGCATATTGGTCGCCCGTAAGGGGTCCCGCGAATTTGCCTAAAACTCAAAGGGATTAGATCAAGGTTTTTTAAGTGGATTGCAAATGGTAAGGAGTTTTGAATCGTAACCATGTTGTGTGACTATCCCTCGAGCTTTTTTTGCATTATTCTTATCCTGAGCTGTCCAGAATCTGTAGGTTTGTATAGAATACTCCAAATGCAGCCTTACGACTGTTCCGCAAATCTTCTGAAAGAGATTTTCAAAAAATTTAAAAGGGCTATCCTAATACCTTACAACACGGAAATTGCGCTTTTCGTTTCGCGTGAGAGGTCAATTTAGGTTTGCATGTCTTGCAGGACTACACCGTTGAGAGAGAGTAGTTTTTTATTTCTGTCGGATCTGGCTTGATTGCCTAGGTGGGGTTCAAAATGTCGTCCGTACATAAACAAGTGCTGCTTAAAAAAGCATATAGTTCTACGAAATAACTGGGAATAAATGGGAGGATCTCTTTAAAATGGCCCCAAGAAGGAACCTCCGAAGACATGACTGCCAGTTGAAGAAGGAACTAAACCGAACAAACCAACGTTCCTCCTTCTTCTCTCAAGGGGTCATTCGATAGTGGAACTCCTTGCCCGAGTCTATTGTGCATGCACCCACGGTTGACGTCTTCAAGATACGTTTGGATAACCATATGTTAAGACCTAACACCTATTTGGCATAACATTACAAACAATCAAACTACTCGTTTGATTTCAATAGCGTATTTATTTTACACTAGAATATCACAGAGACTGGATATTCAGTGAAAATTTGTACGCTGCCATCCCGCAAACGCCTCACCTGTTCAATAATTCATTTTTCCAAATTATTTCTGTGCACTTTTGCACAACAAAAGCGATCT